TGACTGGGGTGCCACCCTTAGAACTGGTAGAGGGAGTGGGGATGTTTTTGTCTTTCCCTTTGGGGGCTCAGGGAACTGAGGCCCTGCTGTCTAGCACTTCTCTCTGGCCTTATCAATGACCAGCTATTTCTCTTCTTCCTTCTCTGCAACTGCACAAGCAGCAAGGAAAGGTTAGGAATGTGGGACCAGACCCAACTGGGGGTTTGATTACACCAGTTCCGCCTGCTGACATGCCTGTTAAATCCGCCTACAGGTGAGGCAGATTTAACAGACTTGGCCAGAGGGGAATTTTGGACAATCTAAAACATGTTAAAACTGTCCAATATATATAAACAGGTTGTTTTTTTCTCTTTTTAAACAGAAAAGTAATAATAAAAGATTGCAAACAAACAAAAAATAGTTATTAAAGAATTAAGCAGTGATACAAAGCAATTACAAGTAAAAAAACTTACTAACAGATTCTCTATAAATCCATTTTCTTTTGACCTTTACCTTTTTAAAACATTCTACAATATTTTTCAAACTTTGTCCAATGAAAACTTTCATTTGCTGTTGTAAATATATTCACATCAATTTTTGCTGCAAAGTGAATTCCTTTTACAGTGTGTTTTGTTCACCATGACCAGGAAACACATTTCACATTGAAAATGTTTAATTAATTTTTTTTAATTTTCTCTAATAAAGAAAAAGTTGGTAATGGAAATTTCTCCAGACATAATTTGTAGTCTTGTTGAGACTTATGGCATAGTAATAAGGCATAACGTGTTAGTTCTTCTTGGTTGGCAATATTGTCTTTTTTGTAATTCTTTTAGAATTTAGTATGGTTGTTCTTTCACCACATTTTGTATGTAGTTTTGAAAAATTTCTAACATGCGTGATTTTAGCATTATGCCCATGGATACAATGCTAAACTCACTGGTAATGGTATAGGAGTTCCATCATACTGGAGCTGGACATGAAGGTTTTGGCCCATGTGAATACATTCTTTTATAGATGGAAAATGTGTTTCAAGGTCAAAGACTATTCTTTAAATTAGAACATAATCTTCCTTTTTTTAAAAATTCAAAACCATTAGGACAACGCTTTGCTTCTTCCAGTTGAGTAAAATCTATTATCGTATCAGCTGAAATTCATCAGTTTCGACCAGTCATTGCCTTGGAGGCTTTCTGAATTGTATTTGACAAAAGAGACAATTTTCTTATTTTTTTCTGAAGGTATTGTAGGTATTAGATGTAAATTCCAATTCTGTTTGTTTCATTTTCCTTTCAAAATAAATTTCTCTTCAAAATGTTTCATACAGAGAACTGAATTTTTTGTAGATAACCAATAAATACGATTAAGGAATTTTATCCATTTTTCTACAAGGTTGGATTTTCCAAGAGGAAAATAAATGTTGATACCTTTTCACTGTTAGTAACATATCCACTAGAACAGCCAAATGTAACCCATTTGTTAACCATTTTTTTAAACAAAATATCTGAACAAACTTTATAATTTAATCTTTAAATGCAATTGACTATGAGGCAGAAAATTTACCAGAAAATGAGGTAACTCACAACCATTTGTAATTCATGTCTAACACTTTCGCCCCGGCCCCTCAACCTCTGGCGTCTTACTCTCAGGGTTGAAGTGTCTACTCGGTCCTAATCGAACTTAAGGGAGTGGCCATAGGTCCCCTGAGCATCCATAGATTATTCGACCGGTCTGCTTGTTTAATCCAGCTTCCTGCCCATGTTGTGATTTGTTTGATCCAGAAAGCAGAAATGATGTCCGTCCATTCATGGTCGACTGAAGATGTAGACACGGCTGGGGAGTCTGTGCTAAGAAATTTAGAATGCAGCAAAAAAAAAAAAATTAATATCTGCAGAAAGCTGGACAAACATTGACTCAATGGTTGAATTGGTAATGTCTTTTATATAGCAGAAAAAATAGTAGAGAAGAGAAACGGGTTACAGAAAAAAAAAGTAAAAGAAAAAACTCATACACTGGATTCTAGACAGAAAGAGTGTATATGTGATTATCTTGTTGCTAAATCATCTCAGAACAATGTATGCCTCTTGCGATGGAGAGATAAAGATTTCTGTGCAGGGCATAAAGTTATAGTGGCGTTCCTCTTCCCAATGCTCGCCCTGGCCAATTCTCTCTTCAAGAATTTTCTCCCGTCTATCTTTTTCAGCATAACTACGCATTTATATAGATAAACACGGCTGGTTATAACTGACCCTCGGCCCTACTACTTAGCATGCGATTATCATGGTGTTCTGGTTGCTTCAACCAAAATCATGTGAATCCCAAAGTTCCTTCTAGCTTACTCAGCTCTATTTCAATTTTTAATCGATAAAAATTATTTCGACCATTTCCATTGTCTCCTGATGACCCAGATTCAATGGGTACAACTTCTGCCCTAGATCAGATATCCCCATCAGTAAACAAAATGCTCTGATTTAATTTCTCTATTCAAATGCTCGGATTTAATTTCTCTATTCAAATTTAAAAAAAAAAAATATACGTGTGTGTGTGTGTTTCCCAGACTCTCTCTCTCTCTCTCTGTCACATTTCCTCCCCTACCCATCTGTCATTTACTAGTAAATGACACACAAGCTTTCATATCAACAAAATATGAGAAAACCCAGTCCAACATACTTCTTACTAGGGGGCTACTTAAATATATGTCTCTTCCAGCATGCAAAGGTAGAGTCCTCAGTTCTTCTTAGGGCTCATTAGGCCCATTTACATTTTCATTGTCCTTACGATACATATGTACATGCAACTTCTGGTTAAAGTTCACTGTTTTGGTGATCTCGTGCAATAGAACCTTTTCACATAGTTCACTAGTTCGAGGGTTCTTTCCTTTTTTTTTTTTTTTTTTTTTTTTAAGTTTGCAACACTCCTTACCAATTATTTCAATCTCATTACTAAAAATAAAAAAAATTTGATTTATTTCAGAAATCTGTCCCTCAATTTTGTCTCGCCTTCACAACAGGCTTTGTCGAATCAGCCATTTACCCACCTACCAACATCATACCCTTCAGTAACATCATGCCTTAGGGCACCTTTACTGGAGTAGGGGTAGCTATCAATATTTTACCCATTTTCTTGGTTGTAGTATTTTATTAAATGATCTGTCTTACCACACCTGTAAATTCCAGCTATAGCTCTTAACCTAATGTCTTTAACCATGTTTAGCCTTTGGCACCTGAAGCATTGCCTAAATTTCTGCCTACCCCCTTTTGGTTCCTTACTACTAATAGCTTTTTGTTTTCCATTACTTTACCTATTACTGGTTACCAACAGTTTTAATATTATTGCCAGGGTTGAACACTGAGAGCTTTGATATCTTGGTCACAGCCATCAAGTGTAATACTATTACAAGGATGTTCTCAATTACAGCAACTAAATGTAATACTAGATGACTGAAAGGCCTGTCTCTAGCAAGTCCTGAACAGGAGATTCTTTTGCCCATGTGTTTAGAAGATCTGTAAAAGTGTCAAGCTCAGGGTTGAAGTATTGCAAGTCTGAGCCAACTATATTTTGTATAAAAATTTGGATTCCAAAGACTGATCAGTCTTGGAATAATGATTAAGACCTGAAGGTGTCTTGGTATGATTTGATCATATGACCCTTTGACTTTTTGATAACTGACATTTCCTAAAAACTATTTTTCTTAATAAGACCACCAGTGGATTTCTGTTTATGTAAATAAAAACCGTTGCTCATTGGCTTTAGCCTAAGATGTAACTTATTACTTATTTTATACTACTAAGTTATGTTCAAGTTAATATTTGGGTTGGATTCCTTCAGAATCCCTTGCCCTTTCACCCCATCTAAACTAATTAAACTTCTTTAGTTATTAGCTACAATTATTGAGCGCTCTCTAAACTCAAACAACAAAAGCAACAACAATAGGCCAGTTTTCTTGGCTTAGTCATATTTTTATCCCTCCAGATTTCCAATACTCCTCTTAGGTTGCTTTTCAAGTTTCTTTAAATGTGAAGTTGTCAGTTCAATTTTACATTGCAGTATGAATTTATATTTAATAAACTATTATTGTAGTAGAATGAAAATTACATTTTTATTATTGTCTGTTTACAATATCGGTTCAGTTACAATGCAAACGGTTTTGATAAGTATAATTTTTAAATTTTAAAGCTTATTTTCAGTGATTGATTTACCAAAACAGATTAATGTACAATGTTTTAGAATTGTTTTTAACTTAACTGCAATTGTGCTAATTCTAAATATTCTTAATTAGCAAATATAAAAATACTCCAATCACCACAAGGTTGGAGTGTACAACAGCTGAGACATTGGGAATATGGCAATAAAGATGAAGACAACACTCTGAACAATGTAAATAATATAAATAAATATTAAAATGTGTGCTAGAAATTGAATCTATTATTTATAAGGGTGCTGAAAATTATTCAAAGCAACAAAGAAGGCCTTACAAAAAAGTAATTTGGTTAGATTTTCTAAGTGGGTTGGACTGAGAACTTTTCACCACTCCCTCTGATTACTATGATTAAAAAAAAACATGAACCACTTTAATAAGTAATCAACTTATCTTCTTTTTTTTTTTTTTTACTCTCTCTCTGTGTTCTATAATAAACATTTACTTTTTGTTAATCTTTTAAGTGCTTTGCTAATTCTATCAACTTTCATTGATAATGATTAAAATCTGAACTGTAGAACAATATCTGAAACCTCATTTTCATGCTGTCCTATAGGGCAAAGTTAGCTGCTTTAAATATTATTTATTTTGTAGTGTCACTCTATGGATGATATTCCTATTGATAAGATCTTTTCCCTTTTATATATAAATAATTATATCCAGTAACAATATTAATAAAGTATTTTTGTTAAAGTAATAAATGAGTGTTTTATTGTTGAGAATGTTTATACTTCTGTTATACTTATGTTTTTAACACACTAATGATTAAATGAATCTTTTGTCTCAACTTACTCACTGCTACATTTTTTATTTTTTTATTTTTACACAGAATACTCATTTGCATATAAAGAAAGGTGATCCGGTATGCTTTGGAGTAATGATTAATCATTGTGATACTCCATTGTCCATGGATGTCTATTTCCAGAATGTGTTAATGAATTCCTCTTTCCAAAGACGTCTTCATCACAATGCAAGCATACCAATACCTGGTAAATAAGTTATTTAAAGAATTTACTTGTGAAGAGTTTTGTCCTGGCTGGTTCTTTATTGAGTTTACTAAGAAGCTTATCCTGTTTTGGTAATTAGATGACTTAAAGATCATTATCATCATTACTTTTGATTGTATTATAACATCTGTCTGTCATATGGACATGCATTTTATTTAATTTTCAAAATTAGCTTTTGTTTATCTATTTTACTTTGAAGAAGGAAGAAAATACCATCTTCACTGTACGCTGCTCTTTTTTGTGTGTGAAGATAGTGTGAACAGTCCTATGTCAAGTGGTTTGCAAAGTTTTTTTGAGATATTTCACTGATCAATGCTCGATAGTTGTGTGGACCAGTTGAAATTGAGTGCAATCAAATAAAAATATTACTTGAGATTCATCAATCTTAATGTCAATGAATAATCTTTTTCATTTGCATCAGCTTAGTTATGTTGATTTCAATGTGGCTCCTGCATAAATGTAATGAAAAAAAATGTACTGGATCATATTTAAATTTTTTTTTTTTTTTTGAAAGAAATTTTAATAAAAAGTGGATACTTTAGAACAGCATGAACATGAAATGGTGAAGAGACAATTGAAATTTCTAGGGCATATAATGTGGAAATAGGGATTGGAAAATCTGATACTCAGAGGACAGATTGAAGGCAAGAAGAACTTAGTCAGCTTAAATAAATGAATGGTAAAACAGGGTTTAGGATAAATTTTATTAAGAGCTACAAAGGACAGGAATTTATGGAGAGCCATGATTGCCTACATCCTGAGAGGACACAGCACATAAAGAAGAACCACTATAATAGGTTGGCCCTCAACCACAGGTGATGATATGTGTATAGTGAGATTGGAAGGGAATCCTTTACTAGGTACCTCCACTTGTTTTGTTTACGTCATCAGGGTGGCATAATAATTGACTTTTTTGCGCATTTTTTCCATCAAAAACACATTGATTTGGAAATTCTTGTAAAAGTTAAATAATTGTCCGAGTTTGATGAAATTTTCAGGACTTATTCACAAATGAGTGAAATTATTTTTGAAATTTTCTTCAAAAAATATCTTGGTAAAAAAATGTTGTTTTTTTTTTTATTATAATTAGAAAAGCTTTTAATCACTTTTGTAAATAAGTTATATTAAGGACACTATTGTCTGAAGAAATAAAATTTTTCCAATGAATAATGAATTTTTGCAAGAATTTTTTCTTTTTTCTTTTTTAAATTTTAATTATAATAATATTTAATAGTTTAAAATCATGTAAAATTCTGTAATTGGCTATTTCCTGGATGTGATATAGTAATTAAGTGGAAACAAAATTTACAAATCCCAAAATTAGCTGTCATCACTTTGTCACTCAATTGTCCATCAATCATTGCTTTACATAAACACAGCCAATCAATAACAAATGGTTGTATATTACTTTTTTATGCTATAAATAAGTAATATTTATTTCAAATCAGATTAATTTAACTTTAAATTTTCTAATTTTACTCAAATAGCATGTCAGAAATGTCACATATTTTTTGGAAGTGTTTTAAAATCAATAAATTTGTTTCTTTACAAATTTCTTAAAATGAAGAAAATGGCTGCTTTTAAGAAATTGAAATTAAATTTGACATTCCAATCTATATAATTTCTATCTGAAATACACCAGAATATCTTATTTACTGGAAATAATAAATTTAATCCTTTAGCTTTGAATTAAAGCTAAAATGAAATCTTCAAGAATGCTTTTTCATTTTTAAAAATTCATTCTAAACCTTGGGTATCAAAAATTTATGCCAAAGAAGTAGAGGTACCTACTGTAAGTCCCTGGAGAACAAACTATCACTACTCCCAGATAGACCAATTGAGGCAGCAGTCAACAAAAAAACATCTAGTTTTATTAAAAGAAATGGTTTGTTATTCTATCAAGATAACACAATACTGCTTATTTCTTTGTGGACTAGGCAAAAATTGTTACAGCTTGGCTGGAAAGTTTTCACTGAATCTGTCATATTCAGTGGATATTGCACATTCAATTACTATTTATGCTGGTATGGTATTGAGGAGTGGGGTCAAGTTATATAAACTTATCTTCATTCCTGCCAAAGGCTACTTTTCTTTTTATGTGCCATGTACTTTCAGGACATAGGCAATCATGGCTCTCCACCTCCATCTATCCCTTGCAGCTCTCAACAAATTCCTCCCCTCTGCTTCCTCCCCCAGACCACCTTCTGTTATCGACTTGCTTAAGTCCACCAGGTATATCACACGTTTTTTTCCCTTGTCTCTCTTTCCCTCTATTTGACCTGTGAGTATCAGATTCTCCAGGCCCTCCTTTTTGTTTTTTTTGTTTCCCTTACCTTTTGGTAAGTTTTCCAGTTGAAATGTCAGTGACTAAATGGACTACCCCACTCCGAGTTCTGAGTGGGGCAGCTTGTTAGCAAGCTAGTAGGATGAAAAACAAGACCTACCAAAGGGCAGAGGAACTCACTGAGTCAAGAGCCAGCTAACTAAAGGTGGTGTCTCCATAAACCACCATAGAGAAGGCAACAGGAAACCACTCCACTATCAATCCCAAGACAAATCATGGTTAACAACTCAGATAATGCGAAACCTAATGGTGTGAAGAGGGTTATGTCTATACCAAAGGCTACTGAAGGAAAAAAGACCATGGCAATGGGAAATTTATTAGTTCAAAAAAGGGAGTGGGAGAGTGGTTAGAGAACTAAAAGGGGATAAGATTGTAGGCATACATGTGACAACTTTATTTCTGCTGATCAGTATATGTCAAGAAGTTGGTAAAGAGAAGAGAGGGAGGAGAAAGAAGTGTGAGCATGTGGTGTGACATTAGTTTCCCTTCTTGTTTTCTTTCAGGAGTGATGTGATAGCCCAAACTATACAATTTTGGAAAAATCATTGTGAAAGGCTGTCTTTTTTTCTTTCTTTTTTTTTTTTTTTTCCTATTCCTTTTGTTTTGCTATTATTTCTCTTTTGTTCCCCTTTTTCTTCAGTGTTCTTTCTTATAGGCTCCATGTCACCCAAGGCAGAAGAGCCAAGATGCTCTACTATTTAATCCATATCTGGAGGAAGATAGTCTTGCCCTTTTCCAAAGGCTTTACTACAAAATGAAGTAAATGTTTTGTCTGAATAAGTATCCCAAACTATAATTTTATTTTCAATATATCTAAAAACCTTAAATACGGGTATAGAGATCTTGACAAAACAGAAAAATGGAACCAAATTTATCTTGGTAGCTCAATTAGCAATAAAGTTATGACTGAAGTTTGTCAGCTTTCTGTCTTGTGTGCTATTGGGGCAGAAAAACAATTTCAACAGTCTATAACTAAAGATGCCATCTTCAGACTAGTTAAAAATCATTATAAAAGGTAATGCCATATAGGTAGTCTTGAAGTAAAAGAAATATAATGCTAATAGAATCAATGATTATTAAATCAGACCAACCTAAACATTTGGAAAAATTGCATTCTCAAAAACAAAATAGTTAAAACATGACACAGAAAGGCAATTTTGATTGTTCATATAAGTTTTATTTCAACAGATAATGCCTTGCAACTTCATGGTCTCATTTATAGCACAACAGTGATAAAGCTAATTTTTTCAGTAGTAAAAAAAACAAACTTATATTTGTAACATGTAAAACAACCATAAGTGCAATTTGGCAAAACTAGTCAAAAGTATACCATCCTGAACTTGTCAATTTTGGGATAAGGAATTCAATGAAATAGTTATTTTCTCTATAATTTGTATAACCTTTATCAGATATGTATCTAATTTTAAAAAATTTTGTGAAATTATGCAACTTTTAGCTTATCAAAAAGGGACAGTACAACTTAGAAATCTATTTCATAAAATGAATCATTCATCAGTCCTTCAAACAAATGCTTATTGTAAAGCTTTAAACTACTTTATCTTCAAATTAAGAAAAATAAAATGAATGAAAGATGATGTAAAAGAAAAAAATAAGATTACAGTGTAGTAGGCAAAAAATATCTCTGTATGTTCAAGTAGAGGGTGAAAAGATAGTTTTGTAGTTGCTGAATGCATTGTCGCTGAAGAGCAGCAGCCAATGGCAAGCCAGAGCTGCAGATGATGATGGCTGGCTGGAACTGTTGCTACTGATGGCTGAGGCCATGGGCCAACTCTCAGCTGCTGGAACCGATACCACACTTTGATCCTAGTCATCTGGGTGATGAGACATGCTTTTCAAGCTTTTCCTGAATCAGTTTGAGTGCTGACAAGATATATTTCCTCTTCTAGTGATGATTTGTCGTCTGAATTTGTTTATATAGCCAATATTCCTGGAACACTCCATATCCTATCATTTCTAGAAAGTGGCATTATATCAAAGTCTTATCTAAAGACAAATGTTGATAATAAAGGACATAAAAAATAATCATTTCTGCTTTTGATTGAAATTAAACTTTTGATTACAACACTGGATAGAGATTTAATTAAAAGTTAGAGTAATAGTATACTGCAACCCATTTGCCTTGGTGCTTGTAAATGAAGGTCATTCAAAGTGGTTCTTCATCACAAATGCTAGAATTGTTTGAATACTCAGATTCACTGAGTAGCTTTTTTCCCTTTGTTCCTTTAGAGGTGGAGATGAAGTTCCATTAATGTAATGTCTAGTCTCTTCATCACAGTTTTTAACTTTATCAGCTTACATTGTGAGGAATTTAGAGGTCTTCTTTGGCCTGCTTCTCCCACTTCTCAGGGCATTGTGTTCATCATCCATGAAACAAAAAATTAAATGTAAATTTTATTAATTACCTGGTTAGGAATCTATGGCATTTGAAATCACTAATACATAAAAAAGGAAACATATACCCACTTAAAAAATGTTATGCCTCCTCCATAATGCTGTTATAACAGCTTAAGAAAAATAATTACAAAAAGACAACACATGTTAGCAAAAGCTGAACTGTAAAATGTATCCATCTTTTTATTTTTAACAAATTGTAAGAATTTCATTTTAATCTAATACCTACAATATTACTTGCACCTCCACAAATAAGCAATTTATCAAAATGAATGCAGGAACTTGAACTTATTCTAAAAAATAATTGCTATTTTTAAAAAAGTTTATTATATAAAGATGACGATTTCTTTGTGTTTTATAGAAAAAATTGTAATAAAGAATGTTTCTAAAATTAATTGAGTACATTCTGAGAAAACTGACTTTCTGAAATTATGATTCAATTCAGTTTCTTTTTCTGTTTATTCTGTAAATTAAATAATTTACAGAATAAACAGATAAGGACATTAACTCTAGGTTTTCTTTCTTTTTTTTTATCTTTTCAGTGTCTTAAAAATCATGTTTTCTTTTAATTTTTTTAGGTATTACATTGAGAACGGATACAAGTAAAGTAGATTTGTTTTTATTTGTTGAAATGACTCATAAAGACAATAAAGTGACCATTGCAGTGAGTTTCTACAAGTTTTTCTATTTGCTTTTTAGGACTTTATAATTATATAAAAATGTTTACTGTTTCTATTATAAACCTGAGGGAATAAATAAAAACCATTATCACATTTCCATTTTATTCAAAAATCTTTAACTTTAATATTTCTAAATTTTTCATTTGAAGGTTGTATTATATTGCTTTAATCTGTGCTTTCTTTGTGCATTTTTATATACATTAAAGATTACAATGCAAAATTAATTTGGGAGATTAAACTTTAATGGAATTAGTTGAAATTCTTTCTCATCCTCAATTTTCTCTAGTGTTAAAAATATTTCAAATCTGTTAATAACAAAAACATTTGCCTCTGAATGTTTTGTGAAAATTCCTCAGATTCAAAACTGGTGGTTTGTGTGCTTTTAAAAATACTATGGAAATGTTATCTTTTATCGTTATTTCCAAAAATTAAATCTAGTAGTTACTAATTAAAATAGCTGTTATATAGCAATGTTAGGTATGAAATAAAATGGTGCTTTCTGTGAGGAATCTTCATAGTTTAGTATAAAATCATATTTCATGTTTAGGAATTTAGTCTGTTAAAGTATATGGTGCTATTTGATCTTATTTTTAAAAATATATTCTATATTACACAACTTATTTTCTACCTTTTTGCATTATTTTTTTTTTTTTTTTTGCATATTTAAATTGCCACTTATGGCAGACACCAATTCTCTTAATATTTGCATTGTTCTAATTTTTTATAAGCTTCATAATATTGCTTTATTATATGGAAAAAATTAAACTATGATAGATTACTAATTTAATAGATATTTTTCTAATACAAAGAAATAAAAAAAATGTGAAACTGAAATACATAATTTTATCACTGTTTTGCTAATGCACAGTATAATTGGAAAAGAATATCATCAACTGTAGATATTCAAAATTGATTTTTGGCTTTAGTGAAAATTTTAAATAGTATATTTTTTTATATTATTCTAATATAAACCTGTGACAAATATTTGATAACTTTTGTCAATTGTAAGTGTCCAAACATAATAAAATAGTACGAAATTCTTCACAATGGAGAATATGCCATATATATCAAGTCTAGATGCCTACTCTGGATATAACAAAAAGTAATAATGCAATTAGAATATGAATAAACCAATAGCTATAAAGTTTTGTTTTTGGTGCCTGTCTTATGTCCTGTGGTCAAACTGTAATCAGTTATATAATAATGAATTGTCTGTGTTAATAGTGATTAACATAGGAAAAAAAGTTAATCCTATCAAATTTGTAATATTCAAGTAGTATAAATGGCTGACAATATTAAATTCATTTTTTTGTCTTTTTTGGATTCCATCTTATTTCAGTTAACAGCCAGAGTACGTTTTACTGTGGGCAAGATAGTAAACTGGCCTGATGCTTTAAATTTTAAAGTGATTCCTGAAAAGACATTTCCAGTTCCTCCCTGTCCTCCAGGTGAAAACAGGAATGTGACACAAATTCCAGTTTTTCCATCCTGTGTTGCACCAACAGTTGTAGCTCCATCAACTACTACAGTCAAGCCAATGTCTAGTTAAGTAAATCAAGAATACTTTAATGCTTGTGCAATTGAAAATATTAAAATGCTTTGAAATATGAACTATTCATAAAATACTAGAAACTGTAATTTCAGATCAGAACATTTTTTTATATTCTCACAATTTAAATTGTATTTATTTATTTTTTAAAGAAATTTGCAGTTAACTAGATCAAAATTTCTTTATTTACACACACACACATATATATATATGGTTGGGAAGCAAAACTTGCAGTAAAGATTTATTGTCTAAATTTTTCATCAGCCATTGCATATTGCAACTTCATTGCAAAGGCCTCAACAATATGCATAATTAAGCTGTAGAGTTAAATGTTTTGACCCTAAGGTTGTCAGAACAGTGCTTTATGACAACTTAGGTTTTAATTCATACATCAGTATACCATGACACTTCCTTACCATCCATAACAGCCAGGATTCTGGAAAGGTGTAAGAAAGTGCTTAAGCACCTCAAGAATCATGGGAACATTGATAAAATAGTCTCAGATGGGAAAATCTTCACAGTGGATGCTATTTTGAACTGCTAAAATGACCAGCACTTCACAGATGTGATGTCAATGGTACCTTCAGGAACAAAACTATCACCAAAGTCATATATTTGGATGTTCTGACATCTGGAAAACAATGGTCTCATTTTACAAGCTTAGAGAAAATGTGGGTGCTGATGACCAACTACAAAGTTCTTGGGTACCATGTTTTGCTATGGTACAAGATCAAGTACCTAAAGAGTAACAGAGCAGTGCTCCAGTCACACTATCAAGAAAATACAGAATTTCTACAAAGCTAACTTTGTTGGTTTCTGGCTAGCAGACTTGTAAACCACTGTTGGCTCAGACCTGAACCCAATAGACTATGCTGTGCAAAGCATTTAGGAGTAACACCACCAAGATCTCAATCTCTAACAACAATATCTCAAAGCTGCTATCAAGAAGGTGTGGGGGAAGATGTCTAAGAACTTTGTGAGTTGTGGAGTTTTTCAAGGTTGTGATTGAAGGTAATGGAAACCAAATTGAATAAATTGTTTTGATATTATCCGAGTTTAATTATTCTTTTGTATTCCAAAGCCTATTTATGCAGAAGTGACTTTTTTAGGTTGCATTAATCTTACTACCCCATCTGCATATTTTCTCTATCTATTGGAAAATGTTTTATGTAAACTTTATTGTATATTTCTTTAGAAACTTATGGAAAACTTTGTGACCCTACAAAAGTGTATCAATGTAGCCAAAATGAGATGTGCACTTTCAATAAAATATGTGGTTGTTCAACTGGAATGGTTCTGAATCCTATTTCAGGATATTGTGATAATCCAGGTATGTATAAGTGAATTGGTTTAGACTCGGACTAAATCCCCACCCAATCAACTTTATTAAAGGAGAATTCATCTCTTTAATAATCAAGTTTAGTTATAACTGTATTATCTTTAATATAATGATTTACTTTCTGTCTGAATGTATTTGTGATTATAAAACAGTAAAAATGGCACATTATGAGATTTTACTTATGGGAAAATATTGTTAAAATGTTCTAATTTGAAGATGTTTCATGTTCAGTTTTCAACTTAGTGTGAGGTTTGTGCATAGCCCCAAAATAATAATCTGATTTTTTTAATTACAAAAACTGAAAATCAAATGAAAAGATTAATTATTATTGCATAAAATAATTCTGTGAAATATCTTCCATATAATAATGATCTGATATCTATCTATATTTCTGAGATGAAGTACATATATGTACATGGAGTTAAACTTTACTTGATACTTAACTTTGGCTGTACTGTAAGCCCCATTTTTTCCTTTCTTTCTCCTGATATTGCCCAAATTTACTTTGTCATGTTGTGTATAATTAGAATGAATGATTAAACTTAATAAATCTGACTAATCCTTGGTTAAATTGTTCATAAGTATAAATTACTTGATGTTCGTTTTGAACTCAATTGTTTCCATTCCATTCCAAGTTCTCACAGCTTAACTAATGAATGACTCTTGACACTTTTCAGGCTTCAGGATAAATTGTCCTGTATCTAGGTATCTAGAATTTAATAATTTACTTGAAATATTGCTTAATTTTGAAATTTATTCCTTTTTTTGTATGGAATTTTTTCCTTCTATAGTTAAATTTTTCTGTGAGATAGATTACTTCTTCAGGTCGATAAAACATAACTTAAACAAACCTTCCTCTTCCTTCCCAATGAACTGTTTCATTTTCTCCTTGTGTAGAATTGTAAGACAAATATACTAAAAAATTAGAATTTATAAGTTAAGATCACACAAATTTTTTTTTCTCTTATAAAACTCAGCATAAAAAAAATGTAATAGTGGCTTCTTATTTATCTGTATACTTTTCATGACCGAATCATAAGATATAATTCTGTCCCAGTTTGGAAATTTTATAATTTTTATAAAAAATTTACAATATTTCAAATCTTTTGTAGGTGCTTCACCCAAGCATAAACTGGAGCCAGGTATTGATATTTTCTATTTTATTTTGTGTTATATCATTTATTATACACTGATATTTGCCCTTTTGGCAGGGCTACAGAATACACTGACTGCACCTTTGCAGAGAGTAAAAGTTCTCCAAAGGGGCCACCTGTTTGCTGTGGGTGGCAACCAGTGATGCTTGGATGGGATCCTGGTGATTGAGGGTTTTGGAGTTGAGCTATATATATATATATATATATATATATATATATGCACACACATACACACTCCTACACTTTAACACACCACTTTGGCCGTTACTTGAGCTAGACAGGCAGTTGGAGAGACCCAATCCAATCAACCAGCTGGTCACATCAGGACTTGTCAAACTAACAAAACAAATGAAATGTGCTCACATTTACCATATCAAGCATTAAACTGACTTAGTAAGCAGTGGCTGATCATCATGGGACTCTGGGGAGCATAGCTGATGAATAATAATAATAAACAAAAATATGAGCATGAAAAAAACCAAGAGACTATACATTGATACAGACACAAAAAGTGAAACAGAAAATCAAACAAAAAAAAATTTTGAGATTCATAGTAATAGAACCAACAGAAAACATACTAATAATTACATTGTCACCTTTTGTAATACAAAAAAAATCTTTTCATATCAGATAACTCCAAAAACAGTTAAAAAAAAATAAAAATAATATACTACTGATAGAAGTAAAGAAAAACCTGACACTGAACCCCTACTAAGGATGATGAGATCTCACAATATAAAGGTATAGATCTACCTACACACATTTTTTTAATTCTTCCAAAGGTTTAGTGTGAAGCACTGAACTCTCACTGTGTGCACTGGAGGAAATTAAAAACAATAATTCTATTAAAAAACAAAAGATTATAGTTATAAAATGAAAATCTATTATAAAAATGACAGAATTATAGACATCAACACATATATTATTACCTTTGATGCACCAGAAACACCAAATGAAATAAAAATTAGATATACAGCAATATATATTCCAAACCCATTGAGATGTTTTAATTGTCAAAGGTATGGGCATAGTAAGAACCAATGCACAAGGAAGTCAGTATGTGGAAAATGTGGGGAGAATGATCCTAATCTCACAGAAATCACATGTCCAAATGAAACAAAATGCCCTAACTGTAAAAAAAATGATAGTACAGTTTCCAGGGACTGTGAATCCTGGAAAAAAGAATAAAATATACTAAAAATTAAACACTGAATTAAACTTTCATATGCAATAGTTACCCAAGCAACATCAAGCTATAACCATGAAAATCTAATATCAAACAAATTACAGGAAAAACAAGAACATCCTTAAATCAAGAATTAAAAAAAATATATTGAAAGTATTGAAACCAATTGTAAGCGTGGAAACAAGCCCAACCACTAAACCAAAACTAACCACAGTGTAAATCTAACATAAAATTCACTGACAACAACCTCTCAACTACAAAATTCTTGAAACTTCACAAATGGAAAATTCCACAAATAGGAACATCTACAAATTAAACAACAAAACCCCACACTAAAACATGGGATAAGGAAAATTAATGGAAAAATATCACAAGCTGCAACAGTCCACTTAACCAAAACAAATGAAGATAAATGCACTGGAAATAAAGAAATATAATAGCAATTAAATTTTAAAGAAACTCCTCAAATGTCACTACACTCTCAAATTTCAAAAATATAAAAACATGGAACAAGAAAAACTTATATTCACTTCAAACAATAAAGAATACAGTATTCGCTTTGCCATAACAGAACTAAAAGGCTCCATAAACAAAAGTAAAATCTCTGCAACTGGTCCAGATGGAATTCATTATCAATTTTTAAAATGCCTGCCAGAAAAGTCTCTTTAAATACTTCTCCATGTCTTCAATGATATATGAGGTTCAGACAAATTCCTAATATCATGCTTCAGTCTATTATCACTCCAATTCCTGAACCTGGCAAAGACAATTCCAACCCAAAAGATTACCAACCCACTGTGCTAACAAATTGCATTTGCAAGATAATGGAGAGAATGGTAAATGCTTGACTAATGTGAAAACAATCTCTTATCAAGTTACCAAAGTGGATTCCAGAAAAAAACAAGGAATCAGTAATCAACTTGTATGTCTAGAATCTTTTATTCATGATGGCTTCCTTTAAGGTCATCGTGTGGTATCAATATTCTTTGATCTTGAAAAAGCCTATGACACCACATGGAAATATGTTTTCCTAAAAGACATGCACAAGATGGAAATAAAAGGAAGAATGTCTATATTCATTCAAAACTTCCTGTCAATCTAAACATTCAAAGTACAAAATGGAAACAACATCAGGGACACACAAGCAGAAGGCAGGAGTATCTCAAGGAAGCATTTTTTCAGTTACAATATTTCTTCTCAAAATAAATAGTATTATTAAAACCATTAACACAAGAATTGAAAAATCCCTATGTGTAGATGATCTCTCAATATCATACTCATTATCCTTAAAAAATATATACAAATATATTTAAACAAAATAAAACACTGGACAAATGAAAATGGTTTCCATTTCTCCTAAACAAAAACTGTTTGTGTGCATTTCTGCAAAAAACAAACCTACCACCTTGATCTAGAATTAAAATTAAATGGACACATAATTCTCATAATCCAACAAATAAAATATCTAGGAATCATACTAGATAGCAAACTTAACTCAAAGTGCACATTGATTACCTTAAACAAAAATGCCAAAGGCTTTGAGGCTTCTAAAAGTAATGTCAAAAGTGAACTGGGGTGCCAACCAAAAAGTAATGCTCAGAATATCTAGGTTACACATCAGATCAAAACTAGACTAAATAGATGCATTATTTACAGTGCCACATGTAAATATTATCTTAAAAACCTGCAAACCATACAAAATCAAGGCTTGAGATTAACTCTCAAAGTCTTCCAGACCTCACCCATGCAAAGTCTCTATATATAAGCCAATGAACCACTTATATCTCTAAGATGGGAAAAATTATCCCTCCAACATGCACTAAAACTACAATCCAACCCAAATAACCTGGCATAACAAAAACATATGAAATTCAATACATTCAGTTCTATAGAAATGAACCAACAGACATCCATTCATTTAGTCTTCAAATCAAAGAAGCACTAGAACAAATAAACAAAGATCTTGATAACGTAACACCAGTTGCCATATGGCCAATCTCCAAACCTCACACAGACCTAATATTGACACATAAAAAAGATACAGTCAACAAAAGGATATACAAAGCATTAAAAAACTGTGACACTGTGCTGTTGGCCCGTGGTCAACTCCCAGTCGCGGTGTGAAGCTGTGATGTTTCTTCCACCGGCATTTTGGAGTTGACTCTTAGTCCCTGCCACCAGCCTGTGTCACAGTCAATCGGTGGTCGTACCCGGTTCAATACCAGCTCACTTCCAACGTCTGGTTACCGAAGTAACTGCTTGGATCTCAAGTTTAACCTACCCACGTTGTGATTTTGATCTTAGTTAGACGAGAGCAATCAGGCGTCGAGCTGTAGTGTAAGTTGAGTCCAGACAGAAGGTGATATCGCACAAGCGTAAAGAAAAAGAAGCAAATAAAAGAAAAAACCCAAGAGGTTCAAGTATGTTATGAAATAACAAATTAACTTTATCTGTCTGTTATATACAGGAGTGTGTTTTTCTCCCAGCCTGTTTTGTACGGATTGTGACGCTTCTACGCAAGTTTTGGTATCTTAAGTCAACTGGTTTAGTTCTTAGGTGCTGGCTTGGCTTCGTTCGTCAGTATAACTTGCTATTGGTAGGATAGGTGAAGTCGGAGGTTGTGGAATCTCTCGGTCAGCTTCTGCAAGGCGACACTCTGGTTCCCGCTACCCGAACTAACTGTCTGACTCCAAATCCAACTAACTGTCAAACGATCCGAGGACATTCATTTATATGGGTACTGACCAAAACATGGTGCAGGGCCAGACGTGGCCTGGGGTTCTCGATAAATCTCGATTCCCAACAAGAAATCTCTTTGTTGTCAGGCTAGGAAAATTGATTACTTCCCATTTTTGGAAAATTAATCACTTCCATTTTTTGGGGGGGTCTCCCTCATCCGTGAGGGGAGGTCGGAGGAGAGCTATCCTCCTAAACTCTTCCTCTCTCACATTGATATCTCATACCAATCCCTTCAGTGGGCATTAATAACTTCTCTGTCCTTCTCATCCATTCACCTCCGCCTATCACCATTGCTACCACTCGCCCAATAGCATCCCGGATGTGCGGGTGGGGCTAAGCTGGCCTCCTTAAAATTATAACCCAGAATTTTTGTTTACAAAATTCTCCTTTTTCCCATCGGCCAAAATTTTTACGAATTCCACATTGCCACCTAAAATTTTGGTCACTCAGATTCAACTTAGCCAGCACTCTTTACCAATTCCATCAATCACTGTCAAAGTTTGCCATCTGGTCCCTTCATGAAGTTAGCTTTTACTGGACCCCTTGGCTTCTTGAGAAATTAAATTTCTTTATCTCACCAAATCACAATTCTTCCATGCTATCTTTTCTTATGCCCAAAATTTTATAATCACCATATCGCTACTCAGCATCTCGGTGTCTGAAAGTGACACTTTGGTAAAGTAAATAATAACAACCCTCTCCACCCGTATCTGGATAAATTTTTCTCTCATGCCAAAATTCCCACAAATACCATATGGCTTTTGCCTTGCTGACACTCAAGAAAAAAAAAAAAATGATATATTGATTCTCCCTACCCCGTATCGGCAATCATCACAGGCCGAAATTTTTATGACCGCCATGTGGTCTGCCTGATCTCTTAATGGTTTGGCTTTTCTTTCCGAATTCTCATATTTCCCTCGGCAAGGCATTTCTTACAACAATATTAATCAATTTGACAAGATCTCACATATGGCTTTTTCTCTGGGTTTTTGTCTTTTGTCTTTTGTGAAAAGTATCTTTTTCGTAAATAAAATAAAATCCACCCTTAGTATTTCTTGTTTTAATTTCTATGGTTAATTAGTTAACCAATTACCATAGCTAAATAGTGTCACAAGACAAATATTGTGAATATAAACCATTCTAAACAGATGGATAAAAAATCCCAGATAGAATAGGTGCAACAGGCACAAACAGACAAATTCACAAACAAACCAGGCTACCAAACAATGCATCGATCTATACAGCTGAACTACAAGCCATAAAAATGTCACTTAAAATGATAGAAAATTTATATTTTCAAACTCCCTATCTAGTTTAGCAGCAATTAAAGAAAATAACACAAATCATCCCTATATTCAAGAAATCCTAAAAGCTTGTCATCATTTAATAAAGCACAAAATAGTAATATTGGCTTGGATTCCTAGCTATATAGGCATGAAAGGGAAATCATGACACCAACATACTGCCAAAAGAGGCAACGAAAATGAAAATAACCAACATCAAACTCCTACATACAGATTATAAAAACAAAATTACACAACACATCAAAAGAAAATGGTAAGCAATTTGGGACATGTTCCCAAACAATAAACTATATGAACATCAGCCAAGACAATAAGAAAGTAGAATATGAAGCCATTAGCTGATCATAGATAAGACATAGTGCTCAACAGAATAAGAATTGGACACACACACCTATGCTCAAGGCAGAAACTACACCTTTGTGTACCCACTGCAATCAATTTCTCACAGTCAAACATATCTTGATAGAATGTAAGAAGCACAAAAAAATATGTAGTAACTAATACCAAGCACAAAATCTTAACATGCTCTTCAAAAATGTACCTACTGCCAAAATAACAGGATATCTGAAGAAAATAAAACAAGAAAATAAAAATCCTCTCTCCTTTCATCCTTTCTATAGAAAGTAAAGCTTGGATTTTGAACCATACAACTTACATTTTGAAATACTCCTGAAGCATGCAGTTTTTGAGATATTTTGAAATATCTTGAACTTTACCACTTATGATGTTTTGAAAACAATTTTAAAATCTAACAACCACTTGAAACATTTTGAAACATTCCTGAATAAAAATCCTGTTTCAGCATTAAATGACCCACAGGAGTTGATATGCTGGTAAAATAAATAAACAATCAATTAATCAATATACATTGATTTATTCTTATTTTGCTTGTTAGTCATGTTTCAGCTATTGTACTCTCTGACCTTCAGGTACCTGTCATATTTCTATAATTTTCCAGAATTTTAAACTGGACCTTTTTTATTCAATTTTTTCCATTGTATTAATTAATTCTGTTGTTTCATCCTTTTGTTGTTAACTGATTTTTGTAATGCCATTTCTATGACTATATTGGATCCTACTGCCTAACCCAGAACTTGAACTTACTACCATAGAATAAGCCAATTAAACAAGTAGAAATGGCATCAAAAGTATGAATTATTACTTCAGTGCTAATTACTCATGCTGAAATATTGTCCGTTTTGGGGTTTGGTCTAGTTTATTTTGTTTTACAGCTTATCAATCTCAATTGGTTATTTAATGATGACAAGACTTTGTAAGAAATCAGGTTTCATTGACATATTTTTGTAACGAGGGGTTTTGTCAAGAGTATTGCTGGTAATATTTTACTTTTTTCAAAAATGTATTGTTGGTATTTTTACTATAAAAATCTATTTTTATACTTTGATAGTGTTTTTCACCCCAGTATTGGGGGTTTGCTATTTGCCCATAGTTGGGACCCTAACAGGTGCTACCACCCTGGGTCAGGGTGAACCTGGAAACAACACCAATTAAGAGGATGGTTTTTCCACGCTCCTCAAAGCCTCCTGAGTAGAAGCCTTGCTGCTGGATGTAATTTATCATACACAGGAAATCATTTTGGGGTATTTTTTGTGGGGGTTAATTGATTTTTGGTTGTAGTTTTTAACCTTCAACCAAGAAATTTTTGCATAGGTTATTTTAATTAATATTAAATACTCCTATGCACCTGCACCTTAAGAGGGGAGGGAATCAAAGATAAAAAATGAACAAGTTATCACAAAGCAAAAAGATGAATTGATTTGCGTTAAAATTCTGAATATTTAATGCTATCATAATTTTTCGAAAGCAAGATTGGATGAGGTATAAATTTGAATTTGAAGCTGATTTTTCAAATTAGCTCTCTATTATTACTCATTTACTCAGTTGAAATAATTCTTTTGACATGTCATAAATTGTGACTTGGTGAAATAAACATGACTTTTAAGCAAACATCTTTATCATGGTGGAGTAATGGATAGTGGCTCGGATTGAGGAATTGGAGAGCCAAGTTTGTATTCCAGCTGAATCCATTACATTCACTTACGTGCTAATACCCTTGGGAAAGGTATGAATCCCCTTCTTCTCCCCTGAGCTATGGGTAAGTAGCAGGACAGACCAGGTTCTTTAGCCTTGGATGGCAACTGGTCTACCACAGAAAGAAATGGCAACCTACTGCAGGAAAAAATCTGCCTTGTCAGTCATGTATTGAAAGATACATGATTGCCTAAATGCCTATCATGCATGGCACATGACTGACTTTTATCAATGTAAAGATTTTATCTCCTGAGTTATTGCCCCTGACTACATAAAATACACTTTTCAATTCCAGGAGTTACAACTACAATTTGGTAACTTTGAATAATCCAAAAACTTTTCTTTTTGCTTCAGTTGCTGAAACTACTATAAAAAGTACAATTGTTTCTTCAAACAGTTTAGTGCCTGCTGCTCCTCAAACAGCAGTTAGTGATCCAAAAAAGAGCAGTATGTTTCTTTTTTATTTTATTTTTATTTTCTTGTTTATATCATCACCTTATTGGATTTGAATGTTGAATTCATGTCTAATTCATGCAAGTAATGTTTTTAAAGTATTGTTTTAACATATAGAAAAAGTATTATTTCTGAAAGTTAAGCCAATGCATTCTCATTTCTAGAGTAAAATTTAACTCTATATACTACTTGGAAAAAGAAACTTTCTTTCAGTAGCATTTAACATGATTATAACCACATGCCCCTTTTATGAGTGGGTGTTAAAATGAATGATATTTGCAAAATAGTTGTTGTGAAAAGGATTTGCAACATTTAATCTTGAAATCTAGTGAGCATTACACACTCATACACACAAACACACACACAAATAGTAAGAATTAATGCTAAAGCTTAGAATAAGCTAAAATCATAAAATATAAGATAAACTAAGGGCTCAATAATATTAATTCAATAATACCAAAAATTGCAACTCGGTTTAATCTGATATCACTCATCAGGTCAAAATAATACTTATTTCTGCCTGATTGTTAGTACATGAAACACTGGATCCTGGTATTGAATTGATATATATATATATATATATATATATATATATATATATATATATATATATATATATATATATATATATACGTTAATTTTAGTGGATACCCATTTTTGAGTAGATGCTCTGTTTATTTATTAAACAGTATATTGATTTATTTACATCTATCAACCTGAATATTCAAGATATTTTATTAAAGAAGTGCATAGTTTTGTAATATTTCCAATATTCAGGACTGGAGAAGTAAATAAATAAATATATTGTTTAATAAATAAACAGTGCATCTACTTAAATATGGGTATCCACTAAAAATAAGTTTTAAGCAATAAAATATGTCAGATTAATAAATGAAAAATCCATTAGTACTGATAAAATTATTGACCAACAAGCAGCAGTTTAACAGTTCCCTTCTTTTTCCAGATACTGGTTTGATCACTGGACTAGCAGTTGGTGCTGTGGCTGTTCTTGGAATTGTCATCTTGGTTTCATTTCTCATTTGGAGATCTCGATCTACTCACTCTGATCATGTGCCTATTGTTGACAATGAAGAAGTGGTTATCTAAAAAGACCTAAACAGTTACGTGCCTGCTACAAACATTTGCAGAAATGTTGGCATTAATTTCATTAATGTCATCAAGTAATGAGATGGTACTTTTAGTTATCTTTAAATAGTGCAATTAAGAAGTCAGCCAGTTCAATTTCTTCATCTTTTTTTGTAATTTTTGTCTGAATCTTATTCTTTAAAACCCCATCTAAATGACTAGAGTGTTTTTAATATATTTGCAGGCAATGATTTTTATTTACTTACATACAATCTTATTACAAGTCATTCAGTTTATTTTCTGATTTTAATTAATAAATTTTGTTTTAAGTTAGTCGTTCAGCACAAATGAAGTAGAAAAGTGTTTTACATAATTGTCAAAATTAAAATTTGATTTTATTTACCACTTGATTGATTTGTTTCTGATAAATATAAACAGATAAACAGGTTTTAAATTTTTAGAACTTGATGTTTCGTCTTGGAAAGATATCAAAAATTAAGTTTTCTATTGTTATGGAAATTAATTAGCATTTTTTTTAACTGTTTACACTATGAAATATAATTTAGTGTTTGAGTGAAGAGATTCTAATTAAGTTCTAACTATTGCTATTGATTCATAAAGCAAAAAAGTCAACTCCTGAATAAAAATAAATACTTATGGTAAATACAAAATCTGCAGTATTCTCATTTTCACTGAGATTTTCTTTAACTTCATATGCATAATTTTCATGGGTGTATTTTCTTATTACTTCAGAATCAATGACTGATTCCTGCTCCTGTAATTGTATGAAACATTTCAATTTGCTATTCATTAGAACAGACAATTGACCCTTTATCTAGAGTCTGGACTTTCAGATTACTTTTGTAAAGTTTGAATAAATTGCAGCATTAAATTAGTAATTAAATAAATTATACTTAATTATATTATATAACTAGGTCAACAATAGATTAAATAGTATTACTAGAAAATAGATGTTAGAGCATTGTGAGTAAAACAAAAACAGGTGGTAAATTTAAAAAAGGGGTTTGTTGCTTAACAGGAATATTAGGCTAAAATGTTAACACTCTTTGGTACTGAATATGCTAAAAGGGGATTGGGCAATTTTTTATTTTTTTTGTTTTTGACTTTCACCTGAAGTGGGGTAAAGGAAATAGAATCAGGAAATATGTATTAGGCCAATATTATCAGTCAATAGAAATTACCAAATCTATAAAGACATGTCAAAGAGAAAGAAAACTTAAGATGAATTAAAAATAAGGTTTTTACTTGTTTTAAAAATTGAAACTATTTTTGTTTATAGTTTTTGTTCCCAAAGTTTGTAATAATTGGGAGCAAGAAACTTGGACCATTCAAAATTTGAAATTATTTGAATTTTTTTTTGACTGGTTTCTTCATTAGTTTATCATAAATTGTTGCTGTGATTTAAGTTTTCTTACATACAGTGTAAACTTGAAAAAAAATTTGCCAGTAAATTTTACTAAAATGAATTTTATAATTTCCTACCTAAAGAACATGATTTAACACTTGAAATATATTGATGAGACAAATGTTTGTAATCTTTCTCATAATTCTGTTAAAAATGTAAAATGTTATTCAGATTTATTTTATTGATATTTCAAATTCTGCTGAAGTAAAGTAAAATAGGATTAATAAACATAATAATATTTATTAATTTATTACCATGTTTTCAATATTTGAATTTATGGCAGAAAGAAGTTCTTATCAATTAGTTTTAAAATTAAACAGTTGGTTTAGTGTCTTCAGGTCATGGGTTCTTATTCTCTCTACTTGATTTGGTTTTCATTCTTGTACTTGTATATCTTCTAAAATCAGACTTAATTACACTGTTACATTTTTCCTTTCTATAGTCGAATGTTTCTCTTTGATGCCTTTGTGATTTCTTTTTATAAATGCCTTTTATGATAAAATATATAAAATGTGTGTACATAAAGATATATTTTTGGACCCTGAGCAAGGTATTTAACTTGCATGTCAATTGAGGGATTTGTAAATTCTATTCTTGAAAAATAAAGGTTTTATTCAGAAAAGTATGACTAAATTGTTTAATTTTGTTTGTATGTTTTTTTTTTGTTTCTCAAAACATTTTCAGATCAGTATATTCACCATATGTAAATAACTAATATTTTTGCATGCCTGTATTGGATAATGACTTACCAAACTAATGAGTCCTACATACTTGTACCAAAACTTGCAATACTCACTAAAACAGGTTTTCTGTCATCATCTCTTGTAACCCTTTCATTATAACATACTTTTTTAAATTTTATTTTTTCTCAAACCATCAGTTACACTCATTTATTCATTATTTACATTTTAATTTTGCTGAGTAATTTCCTGAAGTTTTGATTGCCATTAACACACATTCATGCATTAATAAGACTGGCTTAAAGAAAAATACTTGTAAGTAGCATCAAGTGTCTTTCAATGGCCATTGAATACAAAGGTTAATTTGAGGAACAGTAGATGCTAATTAAATGATCTGCTAGTTTAAAGGTAATTGTCAATTCATTCAGTTTACTTTCATAATTCTGACTCTGCATTTAAATATGGCTTTTCTTACATCACATCATTATATATTGTAACTGTTTAAATTATAACTGATTTTTCATATTTTAACTTTTCATCTTGCGTGTATATATATATATATATATATATATATATATATATATATATATATATAATAGTGTGTATGGTCAGATTAGTCTGGCCATAAGGGTAGAGTACCCAGTGAGAAATAAATTAGCTACACAGTACTAATGGTTACTAGATTAGCTCATTACCCATTATCCTATTGCAAAGCATCCTGCATAGGTTTATGATATGTAATAAGTTATTAGCTTGCCAGATACAAATCATTTCTCTCTAAAATTAAGTGACCTTTAATTTGTCATCAATAAAATCCAGTTAACTACTGAATTTAAGTTATACTGTTTGCTTTGAACATTTGATAAAATGTTTCATTTATCCATAATTAGTATTTTAAACTTTTTCATTACTTTGGTTTCTTATAGTTAATTTAGGAAGCAGTTCTACTCTTTTGAATGACTTCAGTAAGTATTTTTTTTTAATTCACCTCACTAGCCAACAAAATTTCTTTGACATAGGTGAGATGGTTTCTAGGGTATATATTGGTGTTGAGAATTCTAGAACATTGGTTTTGTCCAATTGGCTCTACTTTTAAAGATATTGCTGAAGTGCTTTTTTCATGTCTGCAAATCTGTACACAATGATAGTAATTGGATTACTGTGTTACTGGTGTATGAATATTTCAACAAAACCACATTTATTTTGCTATTTAGGCTATTGTGTAATCAAACAATGTTGAATAAATGTATCACTTTTATTTAAGTTTCCTGATCATATATGAATAATTAAAATATGATATTTACTTACAGCATGCTACTATTATAACAATGAACAAAGAAGAGCCAGAGTATTTTCCAATAGTATCTTCATTTATTACAAGAGATTGATGAAAAATTATGAAATAAAAATATGATTTCCAATCAAATTTCACACCAAAAGTAAACTAGCAAAATATGTAATTTAAGCTATTCAACACAATAACTTACAAGTCCGATATTGCAAGTTGTCCAGATTATTGTATTTTACTTCATCTGAAGGAAGCTTCTCTTATATGAATTCCAGTTGTGAGTTTTCTAAGTGCAATCACATGTAAGGGTTCAGCATTAATTGGACATCATGTGGACATTCCATCAGGTTTGGTACCCACAGCTACTTGAGGGTTCCTATAGCCCCCTTAAGCCTAAATAAAGTCAATTCAGGTTTGATATGGTAAAAATGTTCCATCACAAGTAAAAATCATGATAAAAATAGCAAGTCATTTTGTCACAGCCTATTTTCTCTGAAAAAAATGGATTTTCATGCTTTTAACACAAGGTAAAATATGAAAAATGACTGTTTTGTCATCATCTGAACAAAATATCAACGAAACTTTTGATCTGAACCCCATGAAACTAGGTATTTTCTGAAAGCAAACAATATGTTCTTTCATTTAAAAGTAAATTTGGCTGGTGTAAATGATCAAAACATTTTTTCAGGGGGTAAAAAATGTGAAAAAATATTGAAAATTTTGCATTTTTTCTACTTCTAAACAAAAATTTTCCCCAATAATGGGAAATTAACTTTTTTTTTTTTTGAAAATCACAAAACCTAAATCAAACTATTTCAGGCATAAAGTTGAGAGTTTGAAGCAAAACAAAATTCCCAAAATACAACAAAGTCCGTTGGTAACTTTCAATTATATAGCTGCCTGGGGTTAAAAAATTGACATGAGGTGTTTTTTTTTTTTTTTTTTTTTGTTTTTAACAAAAATAGCAACAATAAGGAAGATAGGGTTCAAATGAAGCCAACATTGACTTTGATATCAATGGCTCAAAGCCAGCCTGCTAGCAATAAAAAAAAAATTTCTCCAAAACATGCTGTCATCAGCTGGTGGGGATAAACCCCACCACTTACAAGAGGTGAGCAAAAAAGTGTGAAAAAATTTGAACATTTTTAAAGGGCTTGATGTGGATTATTTTTTTTTTTTTTTTTATACCGATGTGAGAAAGTCCAAACTTTGGTGTCTGTTAAAGCTGTGAAAAAAAAAATAAAACATGGCTTGATGTTTTTTGCACCTATGTGAGGAAGTCCAGACTTATATATTTTGATTTTTTTCTGTTGTGCGTGAACTGTTAGTGATTAAAAACTGAATAAATAAGTGAACTAATTGTTTGTTTTTTTTTTTGTTTTTTTTTTTATCTTATCATAGGCCTAGCTTTAATACCTATATAAAATCATTACTTTTCTTTCATAATTTCTAAAATAGATAAATTGAAATAATTCCAATGCTTTAAGGAGAAACAAAAACAAGTTATCTTTTTTTTATTATCATAAAAAATTTTAAAATTTTTCCTTATTTAGAAAAAAAGAAGTAATGTCTTCGTTTTTTTTACATATCCCCAGTTTTATTTTTAAAAAATAAACACAATTATACT